ACCCACTGTGCCATCTCCTCAGCCCCGAGGGATCTGTCTTGTGGCAGCTACTCTCAAGAAAGGATTCTTTGCAACAGGCTCTGTGTGTTTCACCAGATGTGTTGTCGCTACCACATCTTCCGTAGTGTCAGTCAAAGACCACTTTAAAGGGCCTGCAAGATCTACCAGTGAGGAGATGTTCTTTCTGTCAAGCCTGATAACCTGAGTTTTATTCTGGGACCAACGTAGTAGGAGAAAATCAACTTCTCCAAGATGTCCCCTGGCCTACACACATATGCAACACACACATTCTAAAAATGTAATAAAAAAGATCTCTTTAAAGAGGCCATAGACTTCAGTTATGCAAGGGGCCTATACTCTGAAAGTCTAACTACCTTCCTCTTTCTCCTTATTAAATTTTATGGTAGCCCTTCCCTGCCCTGAAAAAGAAAATGCATTATCTGAATGCAAGTCAAGGTAGTATAGAGTGGGTATAGGGATAAATGACAAGAGACACATATTTCTATGGTCTTTTTTTTCCCTCTGGCATATAAACTATTAACAACAACAAAAAAGCATTACAGAGTCATTTCTTCTTGGACCCACCTATGTTATGGCTTCTACAGCCAGTGGTCTTTGTGTGTTGGCCTTGGATGTGAAGACCCAGAAGTTATGCATTGTTCTGTCAGCTGTCATCCTCTTCAGTTGCTCCAGATCTTCCCTGAGCTCATTTCCAGAACACTGGCCCGAACCTGGCTGCGTTTTTCATTCTTTCCATTCTCTCTGGGCTCCTGTACTGAGGAGGATACCACACTAGGATTCACATAGTTCACTTCATGCTCAGTGTGGTGGTTTGGAAGAAAATGGCCACCAAAGGGAGTGGCACTATTAGGAGGTGTGGCCTTGTTGGAGGAAGTGTGTCACTGTGGAGGTGGGCTTGGAGGTCTTATATATGCTGGAGCCACACCCCGTATCTTATCACTTCCTGTTTCCTGTGGGATCAAGGTGTAAGAACCCTCAGCTCCTTCTCCAGCACCATGTCTGCCTGCATGCTGCCTTGCTTCCCAGCATGAAGATAATGGACTAAACCTCTGAACTGTAAGCAAGGCACCACAATTTAGTGTTTTCTTTTGTAAGAGTTGCTGTGATGGTCATGGTGTCTCTTCACAGCGATAGAAACCCTAACTAAGAACTCACTGAGTTCTCTGGCTCTCTTGGTGAGCTCAGTGCCTGCTTTCCTCAGTACTTCTTGGGAATGTCTTCATTCTACATTCATAATGGCAGTGTTGGCCAAGGCTATTTTCTGTCGCTTGCCAATGTGGATGTTAAATGCCAGCAAACTTCGCTGCAGATTCTCAAGGATGGCTAAAGACATGGCAGCGGCGGCAGCAGTATTGGCCTCCTGCTGCAGAGCTCACTATGGCTCTTGACCCACAATGGGAAGGGCAATCACATGTACTTTTTTTTGCACTTATATTTACAATTACATTTACATTTTAATTTTGTACACCTAAGTAGATGGTGAAAGATTTCCTGTCAGCATTTCCCCCTGACTACCCAGGGTTCCCCTGCTAGGTCACCACTGAGCTCAGTTTTGTGTATCACCTTCTAAAAGTTATTTAGACACATGCAGATGTAGATTCTATTTTAAGAAAACTGAAGAGAGATATATTCTAGGAACCTAGTAGGTATTTTATTGCCTAAAACTCATACATACAATCCCATTTCTGTCATAAATGGTCCATCTCTGTTGTAAACGGTTCCTGTTAGTACTGACAGCAGAGCTCACTGATGGAGAAGGGTTGATATAATTGATATATTGAAAAAGGTGGGGAAATGTGACCAAATTCAGACTCTTAAGTACACAATTTCATTTTTCATCATTGAAAGTAAGGAGAAGTAGCTGAAAGGGATTAGATCATAAAGAAACCTGATTCATGACTAGTTGGTCTTTTCAAACCAACTGCATTGTTTCTTATTTCCTAAAGTTGTAAAATGAGCCATGCTCAGGGCTAAGGTTGAGTTGAGACCAGATCTCATGGTTTTGGCAAGTCAGTTGACTGGGCCTAGACAAGGGGCTGGATGGAACTTCAGTTGGAGGAATGAGTGTGTTTCCTTCCTGAGGAGGATCTTCTGTGGAACACGCCTGGAACGAGGATATCAGGAGGTGAGGAGGTGCTCAGTCAGGAGCTTGGCTGGATTTGTGTATGGAAGGGGAGTTATTTTTGGAAGCTGTAATTTCACTTTGAGATTTTTTTCTGGCTCATCCTATCTGTAACAATTTTATGATCTATCTGGGTTGGCATTGATTATCAGCTTGATACAGACTAGAGTCATCTGAGAAGAGAAATTTCAGTTGAGGAATTGCCTAGATCAGTTTGAACTGTGGCTGTCTGTGGAGGACTGTCTTGTTTATTAATTGGTGTCAGAGGGCCCAGCATGCTGCAGGCAGCACCCCTCCTGATGCAAGGGGTCCCGGCTATCTGTGAAAGCTAACTAAGCACAAGGGGTGGAAGTGTGAGCCAGAGAGAGCAAGCTAACAAGCAGCATTCCTCCCCAGGTTCTGCTTAGAGTTCTTGCTGAAGTTTCTGCCCTGACTTCCCTTAATGATCAACTTTGACCTGGAAGTGTAAACTAGATAAACTCAAAGTGTTGTAGCATGGCAACAAAATGAAGCTAAGGCATTATCCCCAACTTCACATTTTCCTGAGATCTTACAGTTGAGATTAGAAGTAAGAGGGATACTTCAAGATCAAGCTCGGAAAACTATGCTATGCCCACCCCCTCTCATTCTCATAAATAAAAAGCAACTAACAATAAGTCCTACTTATATTGACTTGACCTTGACATTCTTCTTCCCAGTTAATCAGATAAAGATGTAACTCTCAGTGAGACCATCCTTACAACACCACGACATACAGCAAACACTGGCAACTGGCGTGGAAAACAAACTGTATGAGCAATACTGTGCTAAGTGCTCAAGCAAGATCTGGGAAATAAACTCCAGTCAGCCTCAGATCCTTAGCCACCTGTCTGTGACGTTCTGTAAAAGTGATGACATTTGTTTTTGTCCCCTTGTAATCCAAGTATCAAAAGAAGAGAGAAACTGGACGAGGGACTGGGAGAGAGGAAGGTGGATGTAGGGCGTATGGATGGGTAAAGAAAAACAGTGAAAGCCAAACAAAACAACAAGATTTTGTTTTGTTTTATACCTGTCAGTCTATCTGTCTACCTATCTACACCCCCCTAGCCATGCTTGGGATTGAACCCAGGGCCTCCGATATGTCAGGTGAGCACTCCACTACTGAGTTATTCCCCCAGCTCAGTTTTTTATTTTTTAAATGTAAATGTAGTTTTCATGTTTCTTGAATAAATGTCAAAGACAAGGTAGTGTTTTGCTTTTATATTTGGAGAAGGGGTGAGGTTGGTATTAGGCATTCAGGAAGTAGAGAAAAGGGAAACAGAATATGGTCATCGGGTGCTGGACTGATAATGCTTGTAAGTACTTTATAGTATTTAGTCTTTATGAGGCATAGGTATGACCAGCACCATTGTAAAGATGAGGCAAGTGAGGCCCAGAGGGAAATGAAGAGTCACCTAGTCATCTTCTATGTTCCTTAGGAATTTAATGTGGACCCATAGTAATATCTTTTTCTGAAAATATCTTCAGCCTTTGAAGAGACTAAACTTTTGCCAGACTTTGCAACCAAGCTCATAATCTATCTTGAGATGTTTAAAGACCAATCTGCTGGCCTTCTGTGTACTCTGTCTTCTAAACTGTTTGTTGCCTTTAAGAAAATAAGGCAACTGAACCTTGCACTGCATTGGACTTCCCATGCAATCAGCTTTTACAGCCTAAGTTAATGCATAGCTTTAATCTTAAACCATGTACTCTCCCATGTTCCTTACCTTGAATAATGTGTGTATGTTGTGCTCATCATCTGCTGAAAGCAACCACCAGGTTGAAATTAACTTAAACAACAAATAATCCTATAGCAGTTGGAAGCAACATGTGGCTATGGGTTGATTCTATCTGTGTATAGTTTTAGGTGCTGTTCAGGGCTACCAAAGTAACTTGTCCTCTTATTTTTCTGTCAAAAAGTATCCCTCATTCCTCCTTCATACCATGTTTTCTTGTGCTGTTCAATAAATACTGAGCATAGCTCTTTGTTACAACAGGGAAACTAGTTAGGCAGCCAGGACAGACACAAATCAGAAATGGACATCAGACAGGTAACACAGACAGGCCACAGACCACAAGTTACACACAGATTGAAGACATAGGGAGAGAAGTAGGTTTGGGTTTGCTCTTGGTCTCAACTACTCCAAGAGGAAGTCTTTTTTTCCATCCCTTATTGTGACAGTGACACATTTTGGTTCCCCCTCTGAGTTTTCTTTAGCAAGTAATTGGCACATAATTACTCATTAAAGTAATGAGTAAATAATTGTATAATATTTTGAAAATGAAGTCTATAAAGTTAGCATAATTATATGTAGTTTGTTTTTACCTTTAGTATGCTTAGCGGGCAGTATGATAGCATCAATTCATTAATTAAAAGCTAATTATGATAATTATTAATATTATACAATTTTCATTACTTATCTCAATTGAGCAAGTATTTAATGAATGCCTAACTATGTCTCAGGCAATATATTAGGGAGGTATGTGGGTGTATCCATCCATCCATATACACATGTAAACACACACACACACACACACACACACACACACACACACACACACAAATATTGTTTGGGGGGAATAATAGTCCAAGTATATTGCACTTAGGATATGCAGTGGGGAATTGGAGGTAATAAGATCTACTGGATGAAGAAGAAACTTGATTCCTTGGTAAAGAGTTTTGATTTTGTCCAGTGGAATATGGGCACATTTTAATATCAGAGCATTTTAAAAATGACTGTTCGTATGACTATATTTAAATGAAGCTTCAGGCAAGAGGAGCTTGACCTGTGGGGCCACGTTAATGTCTGTCATCATGCATTATGCTCTCTCTTTTTAGGAATAACAGAAGGAGCCATGGACCTGATCTTGATCAATTCCCTACCTCTTGTGTCTGATGCTGAAACATCCCTCACCTGCATTGCCTCTGGATGGCACCCCCATGAGCCCATCACCATAGGAAGGGACTTTGAAGCCTTAATGAACCAGCACCAAGATCCGCTGGAAGTTACTCAAGATGTGACCAGAGAATGGGCGAAAAAAGTTGTTTGGAAGAGAGAAAAGGCTAGTAAGATTAATGGTGCTTATTTCTGTGAAGGTCGAGTTCGAGGACAGGCAATAAGGATACGAACCATGAAGATGCGTCAACAAGGTAACATGCCTCTAAATGATGGACAGGTTGGATCCACTGGGGGACACACATATTTCAACAGCTGTTCTCTTTGAGACTGCACTAATTGCCTGAGTGTAGAGACTGAAGTCACTGTGTTCCTCAGCATTGCTTATCTCTGCTACCCAGTACATTAGAGATGAAAGATGTAAACCAGTCTAATGCCCTCCCTAGACGGGGGCCAGCCAGGCCAATACTATACCTCATGTCTATTTCATAATTTAAAATGAAATATGTTATACATTCTAATTGTTTCGTGATATTATGAACATATAATTATGTCACTTGTATATAATATGAAAATATCCTTGCCAAAATTATTGCCTATTTTAACATTGCACATGTATTTTCTTTATTTGATATTTTGTTTGGTCTGTTGATAATTGCTCCTAAAAGTAGTTAATGTTTTAAAGAATGAGCATGCTCTGAGAAAATTACAAAATGGTAGCTGGAGATGGCTCAGGAGTCTATCACACTCACTTTTCTTGTAGAGGAGCTGGACATGGCTCCCAAGACCCATATCAGGAGGCTCACAGTGCCTGAAACTCCAGCTCTAGAGAACTCACACACTCTTCTGGCCTTTGAGGACACCTGCTCAAATGTGCAATACCCACATTCAGACACCCACACCCACACACTCACACACACACACACACACACACACACACACACACACACACACACTCAAAATAAAATAGATCTCATGGTTGGAGAGAGCTCAGAGGTTAAGAGCATTTGTTGCCCTCTGAGAGGACCTGGGTTCAATTCCTAACATCCACATACCGACTCACAACCATTTAGAACTCCAGTTCCAGGGGATCTGATGCACTTTTATGACCTCTGAGGACACCAGGCACCAGACACTCAGAGAAACATGCAAACACTCATACACATAAATAATCTAAAAAAAAAAATACCCTTAGAAATAAACAAATTAATTGAAAATAGACAAATGCAATGAGAAATATTTATCTGTAACCCAATTAATTTGGTTTCTTCTATCAATGATGTTTTTATTTTTTAAACAGTGATATTATGTAACATAACCACAAGTAGGTACACAGCTGTAAACATTTATAGCTTGAAAAACAAGGCTTGAAAGATATGTAGTGTGTTGGCTATAGGAACTTGGCTCAGTTCAATATGTGTATTGTCTGTCCCAGGCTACCCTAGGTGTGTTCTCATGGAGATGGAAGAGGAAGGAGAGAACAAATGCAAACTTGAGACTTCTTGAACTCTAAGCCAGGACCTGTGTGTTATTACTTACGCCTTGTTTATTGCCCCAGAGAAGTCAACTAGCTGAACTGAGAGTCAGAGTGATGGGGGCTACAAACTTACATGGGAAAGAGAATGATTTTAAAGAATGGAGAACTCTGACCCTCTTTGTAAGCAATCATTCTGGGAAGGAGAACACACTTTACTTTTAATGGTTGAGTACCCAGGTTCTATTAAGAAAATATTAGAATACAGAAGGAGAATTTTGAGAGTGTCCTCTAAAAAAAAAAACTCTGCCTCTGTATCTTGCTCCATGGGGTGGGTATGGTGGAACCATTCTGCCAAAATTGAAGTCTCAGTGCAATGGCATTAGGAATAGATGGCATGCAAACATTATTCAGTGATGTGCTCTGAGGCCCTGGGACCTGGACAGACAGGTAGACAGATATCTGATGGATTTAATTTGTCTGATGGATTTGATGCTGTGTTCTGTGAAGAAGGCACAGATTTCATGCTGTGATGACCTTGCCTTGATCTCAAAGGAGTGAACTGGCCCCTCATCCATCCGCCACATTCTTTGAATGGCTGACACCACAAATAAAGACATTCTTTTTAAGTTTTTGTTGCCTAAGCATAGGGCTCAAGAGATGCCATTTCGTGAAATGATGGTATCATGAGCACTTTCAAGGGTTTTATTTTTTATTCTTAAAAAGTTTTAATTTTTATGTGCATGAGTGTTTTGCCTACATGTATGTCTGTACACCACATGTGTTCCTGCTGCCTGCAGAAGCCAGAAGAGGGTGTCTGGAACTAGAGTTAGAGACAGTTATGAGTCACCATGTGGGTGCAGGGAACTGAATTCAGGTCCTCTGCTAGAACAAGTGTTCTTAACCACTGATCCGTATTTCCATACCTCTCAGCAAATGATACAGCTAATCTAGGTAAGTTGAGTGCCTCTGTACATTTTGATGTAAGAATCTGCAGGCCTTCGATTTTTTTTAATTTTTACTATTTTTCTTTTAGTTTTAACTATTTTTTTTATTTGTGTGTGTGTGTGTGTGTGTGTGTGTGTGTGTGTGTGTGTGTGTGTGTGTGTGTGTATGACCACAGCATGGGTGTAAAGGTCGGAGGACAACTTTGTGAAGTTGCTGCTCTCTCTCCACATTTATCTTGCGTTCAGGGATCAAACTCAGGTGACCAGATTGACAGGAAGTGCCTTTACCTGGTGTACCACTTTGCTGGCCTGGCAGGGCTTTTTAGATCCTTAAAGGTATTTACAAACCACATGTGACTCTTTGTAAATGGAGATTTTGGCTCAGAATTTTGCTGAGCAAGCCCTGAGATTCTGTGTTTGTATCACTGGGCCCAGAGACTAGTGCCTACTCTACCCCTGACTGTACCTTGAGTTGTGCGAGTTTAGAATCGGCCCATCTCTGCCATCCACCTGAAATCATTTCTTTGAATTTGCAGCAAGTAAAATATTTGGAGGCAGCAAGCTCAATTTAAGGTCAAAAGTGATAAAATCTTCATTCCTCACAAACAAAGGACTTTCTTAGCAAAACGATACTGTTCACCTTAAAATGACATTGGGCCAAGTGGGAAAAGCATACAGCAGACATTCCCAGGAACGCAGCTCTCCACGGAGGGGACAGAGGTTGAACAAAGGGATATGAGGTGTGCCAAAGCTATCATGGCTGATGGTCAGCTCTGTTATTTTTCACATGTCATTTGAGTTTGATTTGTGTAAAGCGTTGTTTTGCTGAGTTTCCACATTCCTAAAGAAGATGAGCTGAGGTTTGTGCCCCATTCATTGTATGAAGTGTCAACATTCCCTATTGGGGCTGTCTTGAGGTCACCCTTGATGAAATATAAATGATAATATGTAGAGCACATTGAACAGAGTGTTTGAAGTTGAAAACTATCACTAATGAGCTGCCCGAACTAAGCTTGGGTCACAGAGGTAAAGGATCTTTTAAATTTAGTTAAATGGGGCAAGGCAAGTTTCATGGTGAGCAACAGTGAGATGGGGTAGCTTTTACACCTATATCCTCCAAATTTGAATTCTTTCTCTACCATTTACCAGCTGTACAGCTTGAAATAAGCTAGTTGACTTCTGTTGGTCTTATTTATCACTCTCTGTGAAATGGGTATAACAACACCTACCCTACACAGTTGTGTTAAACTTTGAGTAAGATTATGTATGCATATATATAAGCTCCATCCCAGAAGCACACTGATTTGCACGGCTATGTTTTCAAACACTTGTATAAAGTAACACAATTCTACATAGGGTGCTTATAAACAGAAGAAATGGGATTTCATTATTTCTGGTGCAGAGACCAGCCCTCTGTATAGCAGCCTTAATATTAACAGTTCTTTCTTCAGTTCTGAGCAAGGGCTTTAAAACTACAAGGTCTCGCCGGGCGGTGGTGGCGCACGCCTTTAATCCCAGCACTCGGGAGGCAGAGCCAGGCGGATCTCTGTGAGTTCGAGGCCAGCCTGGGCTACCAAGTGAGTCCCAGGAAAGGCGCAAAACTACACAGAGAAACCCTGTCTCGAAAAACCAAAAAAAAAAAAAAACAAAACAAAACAAAAAAAAACTACAAGGTCTCTACTTGAATCCCCTGCAGGAACCAGAGCAAAGAATGGAGGTGTGAGAGTGGAAGAGTGGAAGATGGAGGGTGGCCTGAGGGCAGGCGGGCTGGCTCAGGACAAGTTACTCTTAATTGAAATCATAGGTTTTCCTTATTTGAAAATTAAGGAGGATAAAGATTATTTTCAGATTTTTTCTGAAAATCAAACGAGGCACTTACAGGTTAGTAACACAATCTGGTTCATAGTAAATGTTCAATCACTATTATAGTACACTAGTGTAGTAATTTAGTGGAGTTTTTTTTTTTTTTTTTTTTGTGTGTGTGTGTGTGTGTGTGTGTGTGTGTGTGTTTTGTTTATTTTGAGACAATGTCCTGCTCTGTAGCCCTGGCTGACTATAGACTCTGAGATTAGAAGCAAGAACCACCACACCCAGCTCTAGGGGGATTAGTTTTCCTACTCAGAATTTTAGGGTGTATACTCATTGTGGAAGCACAAACAAAGTAGACAAAGAGGTGACAGGTTTTCTCCAGTATCGGGACAGTAAGAAGGTCTTAGACCGGTGACTGGGTCTGCCTTTCCTGTTGGTCATTCAGTGGAGGAAATACGTTACAGAGAGAGTGATATTGATTATGGTACCAGGAAGACTATGTCTTTTTTTTTTTTTTTTTAAAGAACCAATTAGTTTATTGGGGTTTCTTACAAGAGTATGAGTAAGAGGTCACTCACAGGAGCAGAAATGACTCCGAGACAGCTGTACCACCAAAGCCCACTCCTGCAGGAGCCACACCTCAGGAATGCAGGGACCCTGAAGTGCACTGCACAACTTGAAGGCAGCTACAGGTCAGAGTGCCTCTTCCAGGCAGCTGGGCTCATCTGAGCCTCTTCTAGGCAGTCAAAGCTACATCTTTATGCTACCGCTACTATTAGTGACGTAGTCAAACATCTTGGGACGGCTAGGGTGATGACCCAATTAGAAAAAACTGCTGCTTTCCTGTAACTACAAGGACCTGAATTTGCTCCCCAGAACACTTGTAGGAAAAAAAAAGTACATGCTTGAAATCCCAGAGCTGGGGAGGCAGAGCCAGTAGGAACCCTGAAGAGGGCTAACCAGCCAGCCAAGCCTAATGGTTAAGCTCCAGGTAAACAACGGAAGACCATGTCTCAATAAAAAG